ACCCGCTTCACGAGATTCGAACCCAGGATCTATCAGTCCCGCACATGAGCGCTTAACCACTAGGACACTGAGCCGGACGGCATTCAATGGTATTAATTTTTAACTTCAACTAATCCATGAAATTGAGCGACACATCCACCACTGTGACCAGTGGAGTTCAACTGGGTCAGTTGTGAGATAGTAACTTACTGATGAAAATGATCTCAACTATTAAAATTACTACAATCTCCACAAAACCTCATTCTGATACTATCCGTAATTTACATAAATGTTTTTAACGAAGAACTTGAAATTCTTTTGAGTTAAACAGTTATGAAAACAAAATGTGAAAATGACAACTGTTCACTAATCTCACTGTAAAATTCTCCTTGTCTGTTAATAAATGTTTGAGAAACTAATTTCAAATTAACGTTCAAAACTTTTGTGTTGTGTGCTACTGATGTAGACAGATACAAGTAGCATGTATCATCAATCGAAAATGAAGTGCCTTAAGGCAGAAGGTTGTAGAAGATCGAAGAGAAGAGAACAGGAACAAAGAGTGATTGGTAAGGAAATGAATTAACAATGAAGTCTGAGGAACTCGATTGACATTTTGCAAATGAACTATTTACTATTTGGTTCTCAGATTTCACTAAGAGATTCTGTAGTTTTGAATACAAATACATTCGATTGTTTCCACTTGTGTTTTCATTTACTACACTTTTATCCAACTAAACACAAGTTACATAAAGTGTTTCGCAAATTAAACGTAGATCCTAACAAGAATCATTAATATATTGGTTAAAGTCTATAGCATCCAAATATTAGATTCATAGGAAACTTATTTATATCAAACGAATAGCTGAAGGTTGAGTTTATAAACTTCTATTCAGGTACTGTCATCTATTAAAATAGTGTATTTGATAACAGCTTTTCTTCCAGCGGATTCATAACGTAATATAATTTACTGTTAATTTCATTGTCATCAAACATCGTTCGAAATGAATGATAAGGTTAACACTGAAATCATTCAATAGGTTATATAAATCAGAATGTAAGGAATATGATATTAATTGTGTTTCTTTATACAGTTACACATCGTACCTGAAGTGTCATGTTTTACTTTGTCAAGTTCAATACAAAGTCATTCACTCATTATAGACGGAAGAACAAGCAAAGTCTGATATTCGGGGTTTATAATTCTCTGAATAAGAAATAATCAGCAACAAATGATATGTATGACCCAGGATAAACATGAACTTAACAAGCATTTATCAAGTTACAAATATAATAAATGACACGTTAATTATTTTAAGAATGGGAGTTTGTGGGGATTGTAGTAATTTCATTATTTGAATTCATGAGTCTATGTAAGCTTGATCATCAGTGAAAACCCGGGAGCACTAGACGCCATTTCGTCCTAGTGTGGGACTCTTCAACAGTACGCACCCACGATCCCGCCCCGTAGGATTCGAAGCCAGGACCTTCGATCTCGCGCGTGAATTCTTAACTTCTAGACCACTGAGCCAGCATCCAAATTTGTGAATGTCTATCTTTGATCAATCCATGATATCGAACAACCATTCATCCATTGTCTGAGGTAGACACCTGGCTCCAACTGGCATGGATCAGACTCTAGTGGCCACGGCTTCAAGTGCTTCCAGGTTTTCGATGGTTGTCGAGCTTACATAGGCTTATCAATTCAACTATTACAAACATTAATTATTGTTTTTATCCGTAAACATATCTAGAATAATAATCCTGGTATTATTATTATTTGGTTTTATTATGATAACTCAATAAGCCTACCAGCAAACTATGAGGTAATACAAATAAGTATATGATAGAAAATATGACGACGACAACAACAACAGCAAAAAACAAACGAACATTTATATGCATTAATAATTCAACGAATTCGTTGCATGTTGAAGTAATTTCAATTATATGGCTACTAGCATTCAATAACATACATACATATATACATACATACATACGTAGTTGACGTCTTAAGAAAATATAAGTTTGTATGCATATTTACTCATAACTATGGTAACACCAATAATTATGACAATATATATATATCAATTAATAACTTTTTAAAATGATGAGTAATTTTTTTTCTTCTAAATACTTGACATAATGAATAACCAAATGAAAAAAAAACAACATTAGTTTATCCTGCTGTTGTGGTCATTGAAAACAAACAAAACAAAACTAATTTGAGGCTAACAAAAAAATTAATTTACTGTTAAGTTTAATTTTTTATGCTTAGAATGTATCACATATTGGTTATTTGAATAATCATCAATAATTTGTATAAGTACAAATAGATGCTTGAATGAACATATTAACAATGATGAATATAAGTGTAACCTTAAAGGTGGTAGGTCATTTTACAAAAGTTTTTGTTTTAATTATTATTTAAAATGAAATGCTTATTTTGAGAAATTCAAATATTTGTTTATATAAATCTTAAGTGTTTTGAAGTATTTAAAATAGATAAGAACTTTCAAAATAGAGAATTAGATACATTTAAACATCCAATCCATTGAACTTCAAACAGTTAATCTGTTTTTGGAATGTAAAATTACTTAATCAGTTTTATATATTCGTTTTATATAGGTCATTCGATGAGTACTTTACCTAAAAGAATTCAAGAACATTACCTGGTATGCCTAAGAAACGATTCAATAAGAAGTTCAATAATCGAACACCTTGTGAACATAGGTCATTCAATGAAGAAGGACTCTGAGTTTAAAGTCATCTACAAGATAGGTAGAAGTCTTCCAAAAGCATTTATATTAAAGCTTCTTATTATTGCCGAAGCAAAAGCTATACATCTGGGAGAACCTGAATTATGTATCCAAACGAGATTGGTACAATCTCTTCTTCTACCATGGTTTTAATGTCTATAACTTTTTTTCTTCATACTCTTCTTCCATTACAGCCATCAGCTTCCTCTTCTATATCCTCTTTATACCCTCTACCCCTAACTTGTTTATTTCTGTTTCTCTGATCATTCTGATTACATTTCATCTGAATTTCAACATTTTATCTTGTCATTGCTGAGCCATCCTTTCCCAATGATAATTTCCTTATCAGTCTTTATGATGAATATTTAAACCCTTAACAATCAAACGATTATTGGTTTTCCTGTTTGAAAAGATTTTTTAATATCTTTGTTTATTCTACCCTATCGTTACCATGTTTAACAGAGGTTTATTATCATTATTATTGTAATTATTGTTATCCTGAATAATAAGTATATATATATATATTTGCGATTGTACAGCTTTGAAAATAAATTCGCCGTAAAGAGAACTGTTCGCTGAATCAATGTGAAATATTGAAATATTTATAACATGTTTATAAAACCTCTTGTACTAAAATTTATGTCAGTTAGATTTACAAAAATATTAGTCTGATTCTTTTTACTAATACTGATAAGGCGATGTGGTTATTAACAGAGATCTAGCTTATACTTGATACAACTAATCAGTCAGAAAATCTACTTAGCTACACTTTATGTAACTATTTATAGCCATACACTATCCACAAAATCAGTTTATAGCCTCAAGTTTAGATTGTGTGAAAACACTTAAATTACATTTCATCAGAGTATACAACATTTATAGTTGGACTTTAAATAACCTAAAACATTACAAATAACAACAAGGAATTTGCACCAACCTTCGAAAGAAATACCCACACATTGGAAATACATTAGGATATAATAAAGTATAATCATACTTACCTCCTCCATAATATTATGTTTTAAAACCCGGTACCTTATGAAAACATTTGAGCAAATCTTTATATTTCTTACAAACTCAAAACAGAAATTCATACTGATTTGCTACGATCAGATAAGTGTTCGTTTGTTTTCATCATACAGAAGATATCCTACGTCGAGATTTCGATAGTCCAATGACTCTAAATATGAAAGCACGTTAATCAAAAACTGATTCTCTTACACCGATGACCATTTAAAACCAATTAACGTTCTGAATAATACTAACCAGTTAAAAACATCTTGTAATCACTATATAATTTATAGCAGATTTTAAATTGAGCTAGTAGTTCACTTTTCAACCAAGTGAATAGTTCAGAATAATAAGAGTTGATAAACATTTAATGAGGGTATATCATCTTGTGTTCCCTCGAGAAATGAAACTGAATTTCAAAAGCCTAGTTTTAATTAGAAAAATGTCACTATACTGAATCATATCACTATCAAATATAACATGATTTTAAATGTGTTATAAACAGTAAAATAAACTTTAGTATAATACAAATTTTATTGGTGAGACTAGAATAGTTGAATGACCTTTGAGCGACTCTAGACTAACCATGAGAGTGTCCACTTAATAACCATGACCAAATGAGGGTCATGAGCCTGTGTGAGGAATTATAATTATAATTTACAGTTTTTATCACGAACTGACATCAACTATAATGCCAAAGATCTATTTATCCAAATGGATGAGTGAATTTTGGCGCCAAAATCAGAGACCTGTTATCTTATACGTGATTAGTTCGTCTATAAATTATAATCTCGTCATTTTATTAAAGGTAAACTAATCAAAATCTATCGTAATTAATCGTGATGAAAATATACAAGGACAAATTTATACTTTAAGCAAAATAATCTCAGTCTGTCAGTCAGTCAGCTACAACTTAGGACTAGGCGCATATACGCATCGGTCCAAGTTGCCACACCTCATTAACACAACAAGATGAACACGAAATTCATAGAAGTAATTAATTCAATGGTAGTATTATATAAAAGAAAGATTGTGTATAAAGATCTAATACAGGAGGAAAGAATTAGTTCGAAGAAATAAAGGTATAAAGTAAAATAATCTGAATATTAAGAATTAGTCGGTATTACTATTTGTTAATTTATTACCACGAAGTCAATTAAATCAAAAATCATATTCACTATTGGGCAAATATAAACATAAGTTAATTAATGACCGCATTATATAAAATAAAATATTTTACAGTATTATACTTACCTGTCTTAATAATTCAGTTTGAGAAAAATCCTCCATTCTAGCAGCTTCTAATACCCATACTTTAGCTCCACGCCATCTATTACCTATATCCGTTGTCAATGTCATTGTATTCATTACTGATGGTAGACTTAATCTACTACCAATATTTCCATTATAATTATTAAATGTATTCATTGTAATAAAATGATTATTATGTACTGCTGAAGTAAACTCCACAGTAGCATCAGTTTCAATACTTAAAATAAATGATAAACCAACACTAATAGTAAATAAAAAAGTATAAAATACACGAAAACATAAATAAATCATAATACAACATTTTTGAGGACATGTTAAACGAATTAATTGTGATTGTGAATTTGTATTATAATCATTATTTAATAATGATGTAGAATAAACTGAAAATAATGAAAAATGTTTCTTTTGTATTTCATTATTTAACATATAACTTATTGAATTATGAATTCTATTATCTGTATGAAACTTATTAGATCCATGACATATTTTTAAAATAGTATATATAGTTAAAAGTATAATATAAGTAAGACCAATAATTAAACATGTAATAATAAATGGTAAATGCATTTTATAAACATGTAATGATTCTATATAATTTGGTAAATATTCTTTTAACATTATAGTATGATTTTGAGAAGCATTTATTGATTTTAATAATGGAATATTATTTTGTTCTTTCAATAATGTTGTACTTAATAAATAATCAGTAAAACAATCTTTAATATGAATAATTAATAATATTGATTGAAATATATGTGTATATACAATTGGTAATTGAATAGATTCAATATTAAATTGAATTTGAAATGTAACTTTCTTTTTATTAGAATAGTTTGTATTGAAATCCAATTGATGATTTAATAGAATTAAATCTTTTTCAAATAAAATTTGTTGTTGATCAATTGTAGTTAAACTATTTTTATTTAAATTTGATAATGAGTTAAATGATTCAATATATAATTTTAAATGAATATATGTTGATTTATGTGTAGTAGTTGAACCTTGACAACAACAACAACAATAATAATAATAAAAAAATAATTAAAATTATTTAGTTATATAATCATAGAGATAATAATTGTGAAATAATACCCTAATGATTATTCACATAATTTTACAGATTACAGTTATCCTCATACTTTATTCCTATTGGTTAGATAATTATGCTCTTCAATTATTACAATTTGATTGGTCAGTACATATATATAAATATATATTCAATAAGAAATTGGAAATTTTGTCTGTATTCTGAATGGTTACTTATTATGGATTATAATATTATAGTGTTATGTCTCATCTTTTTAATAGTTATCATATTTACTATTATAGTTGTAATATTTTTATGATCTTGATCTTTTTCTTTAAATTAAATCTCTATGTGGGAGCACGACACATCAATATACACATATATATGCACACCTATAGACTGTGGTATTTTATTTTTTAAAAAAGAAATCTTTTAATTATTATTAAAAGTTCTAATATAACCACTTCTGTCCATCCCACCTTAGTAGTAAAATTATTTAATCTATGCATATGATTAGGAAACAGGAAAACAAGAAAATTGCAGAATAGAAATTTTCATTAACATGTCTTTCTTATGAATTTTTTTCTTGTCAGATGGAATGACTGTCAAAAAAGAAAGAAACAAACTAAGATAACGGTTTCTACAAATTGATTATCGATTACAGAACAATTTTTCTTTATTTCTTTTTTTTCTTAATATCATACCTGAATAGTACTTTTATGTGTTATTTATTAGAAAGTATAGCTTTAAGTAGTCAGATAAAAAGACAAAGTATTAAAGAATTAGAAATGTTGAAAAAAAAGAACATTGTTTCAGTTAAACAGCGCTCCGGAAAATGTATACAAAATAAGTAGCATTAATGTTGGAATAAAATGAAGGGAAATGAATAAATAAATGAAATATATGAATTGCGTGATGAGATTAAAATCACCATCTATTGAATAGTTAAATCAAACTATTGGGATTAAGCTTACACTAAGATGAATTAATGAAGAAATACTGTAATCAAGTCTAGAATTTAAGCTATACGATGGACTAGTTGATGTTCTGGTTATTATTAGTTCTTTTTATTAGTAGTTAGGGTAGGTAGCTTCCAACTGAACGTTTGTAATTTGGGTTAAAACACACTTACTTTTACCTGGGTAGCCAGATAAGTTAATTGTCACTAACATAAAGACAGTGTGATTCAAAGCCGAGTTTAGTAACAGATACTCAAGTGAACCACAAAGATAAAACCTTCTATAATAGATATTATTCACTTAATATATATTTTAGATATAAAATATTAAATTGTCACAACATAGCTCTAAACATCTCGAATAAATTCATTTTGTCACTAATTTCTAATAAAAGATATTACGTCAATATCCATCACCATTACTTCACAGTACATCATGGAATTGTTGACTATTTAATATAGAAGTAAATTTTAACAAATCATATGTTAATATCCAAATATTACATTTATCCATTAAGGCTAATAAGTTATGCAAAGAAAACTCTATCTTTATGTTTCATAATGCTACAAAGTGAATTTGATAATTTTACAGATTATTGATTAGTTTAATGTGGGTATGAACTAATTTTATCTAAGCAATCATTAAAAATAAAAGACCAATATTTAGAAATGACTAAACTCCGACAGTATAATCATTGCTCAGAAAGTATGATCTCCACATGATGTAAAAAATTTCATTTTGTTATTCGTGTAAGATTTTCAGTAGATAAGAACGGGATGAAACTATTGCCCAGTTCTCCTTGTTTTCCAGTGGTTGTCTAGCTAAATCCTATTTGTGATATAAATTTTATTTCATTAAAAAAGGAACACAGAAGCGTTTGGTTTAAGAAATAATTTCTAGTGTATATACGAAAGAATGATATGCAATTTATGGGGAGAAAATGAGTAATTTAACATAACAATTTCATAAGTCAGAAGACATTTAATAAACAGGTAACGATATCTACATAGCATAGAACTTCAACTTTGAGTGGTTTGTTCTTGAAAACGTATGTGGATTATTTGTTAAACGGAGTTGCTCGATAAGATATTTACATATTTGGAGTGTTGACTGGTAAGATGATTATATGCTTCACATTATATTAAGTCGTTAGGTTGTCCTCAGTCTCATTTTATGGATTTTTCTGTTGTCAGACCGTATGTGTGTTGTCGTGGATGCGTATCCTTGAAAAGAGTCTCAAATACATATCAAATAAATATTAAGCTGATGTTATTTGGCTATGAAAAATATATTCAAATTTAATATAAAATAAGATTAGTTAGTACTTTAACCAAAAGTCTCATACTGAACTCGAACCCACTCATTGAATTAAACTAAATCATTTACTAATCAATGATAGCATATGTAATAATTAAATTCATAAGTCGATTGAGGCTAGACCACTATGGAAAACCTGGAAGTACCGGACGGCCGTTTCGTACTAGTATGGGATTCTTCAGCAATGTACATCCACGATTCTGCCCCGCAAGATTCGAACCCAGGACCAATCAATCTTGCACGTGAACGCTTAACCTTTAGACCACTGAGACAGCAGGCATCTAACAGTGTTAATGTCTACCTTAAACCAATCCACAAAACCTCACTCTAATAATAACATATATTATGAAACAAAGAAATTGTAAGTGTTTTAGAATATGTAGGCTTTTCTATTAATGAACTTCTTTCTTAAACTGTACTGAAAAGCTGAAATATATCCATTAATATAAATGTTCTTTATAACATTATTATGTTAACGGTAAAATTCTCTGTCAGATGGTGAAGAAAAAAGAAATAAACAAACAAAACTAAGTTGAATAATTTGTCAATATTTTCGAATTATTTCACAATTGATTTACATTACCCTAGATTATTGTTACTTATTTATATTTTCCAATGTCATAAGATACAGGCAACTATAAAGATTTATTGACAAAACAATAAATTCAATTATAATTTTTTAATTAAAAAATTATTTTCAGAATCAATAAAAATGTTACTGTCAATAAATGTGAGTGAAAATGTGACAAAATCAGAAAACCTGGAAGCACTGGACGGCCATTTCGTCCTATTGTGGGATTCCTCAGCTGTGTGCATCCATAATCCCGCTCGAAGGATTCGAACCCAAAGCCTTCAGTCTTGAGCGTGAACGCTTAACCTACTAGATCGCTGAGTCGGCATCCAATGGTGTAAGTGTCTAACCTCAACCAATCCACGAAATTTAGCGACCAACTTCCATCACACTGAGGTAAATACCTGTCTCTACCCAACACAGATTAGCTCCAGTGGTTATGGCTTCTCACCAGAACTCCCGGAATTCCATCACGAAACTGGGGGTCGCGCACTGCTGAGTAGTCTCACAATAGGATGAAACGACCGTTCAGTGCTTCCAGGTTTTCAATGGTGGTCTAACATCAATCGGTTCATGATCTTAATCAAAAACTTAATAATCTCTACAACCCTATACTGATAAAGTCAGAAAAAACAGGAGAATCTAATTCTAAACTTAATTATAATAAAATAGTTAACTGAAATCTATGCACAAACTGTTAAGTTCTCTCAAAATATTACTAAGGAAATGAAAATCAACGACATTGGTAGAACTGTCCAAATGAATTAAAATTTTATGTATATTTTCAAAATACGAGCGGTTAAATGTATCTTTTGTTCAGATTTATGAGTCTATAATTGATTCTCAACTTCTCTTCTCGTTAGTTATTAGTGTTTTCATCGACATTCGATACTAGGAGATTTGTGTAAAAAGAAAAATTGAGGAAATATCTGTGTTTACTAATGAATTTGTATTATCTCTAAATTTATTTATCTTAAAATGACAATAATTAATCTGTATTCAGTTTTTATAATGATGACATAGTTATGTTGTATTTTAGTTTTGTCGATAATTATAGTACGCGCATATTAGTATGATAATAAAACTGACAATATACATTATCTTAGTCCTCACAATGATATAAATCAGTGGAGAACATCGATGCTTTATTTCATAGATCAACTGATTTCTTTTTTATTTTTAACTTGTTTAAGAAAAATTCATATCACTTTTCATGAAAAGTTTTCAGTGAAATTGATTTTATAATTCATTTAAACACATTTTTGTACTGTAGAAGGTAAATTATCTATAACGAGAGAAAACTAGAAAAATTATGAAATGAGAATTAGTTTTTCTATTACATAGATAGATAACATTACATATCAGTAATTATTCAGTTTTTAACACATACACAAGGGAAAATGAGAGATCCCAAAATATAAAACAGAGTGCAATAATAAAATTACGCTTGGTGGAGAAGTTCTGGAAGATGTAGAATCCTTCACAGGGCAGCATTCCAACAATTAAAGAACATATGGAATTCAAAACAACTTTCAACCAATATCAAAGTCAGAATCTTCAATATGAACATCAAGGCAGTTTTACTGTATTGAGCTGAAACTTCGAGAACTACTACTACAATCATCATCAAGAGGGTACAAGTATTCATAAACAGTTGTCTATACAGGTTACTCAATGTCCGATGACCAAATATCATCAACAACAAACCAACTTCCATCTGAGGAGGAAATTAATAAAAGACGTTGGAAGTGGATAGGACATACATTGAGGAAATCACCAAATAGCATTATGAAGCAAGCTCTAACTTGGAATCCTGAAGGGAAACGGAGAACAGAGAGGCCAAAAAAACACACTACGTCGAGAGTTCGAAGTAGACATGAAAAGAATGAATAGCAACTGGAAAAAACTGGAAAAGATTGTCCAGGACAGAGTTGAATGAAGAATGATGGTGAGCAGTCAATGCTCCACTATGAGGAGTAACAGGCGTAAGTAAGTAAGTAATTATTTAATTTTTAAAATACTAAACTGATGAACAAAAATATATTTATAATCCATCGCGCCAATATATTTGACTAATACTATGTGATAGTCAGCATTTGGATACTGAATTCTCAATGTTCATGTAACTAACAAATAAATTTATTGGAGAATTTCTAATGTCTCAATTTTATTTTTATTATTCACTGATATCATCAATCATTACTTCAAAAAGTAAGAAAAAATCGAGACTTCATTCTTCTATCTCACTGAATAACAGTCTTCTTTTTACTGACATCTGTGATTGAAACAATTTACGCTTCGGGATGCATATATATATATATATATATATATATATATATATATATATATATATATATATATATATATATATATATATATATATATATATATATATATATATATATATATAATATTTATTAATTTGGAACATACTATTTCATAACATCTTTCCATGAATGTGTTGTGCATCGTTTTATCTCAGCCAAAACACTTGCGATAAAAATGATATTATATTTCATAAAAAGTAGATATTAAAAAAATTTTTTTTGATATATCGATTACGTTTCTTCTATTCTGACAATAATAATGAGAATAATGATTATGATCTCTATCATGGTATGTAAAACTAACTGTATCATCAATTAAAATATCATTTTCATGTATCATTTAGTTTGATGATAGTTTAAATCATTAATAAACATTTTACAGACAATTATCAAGAGTAAACAACCACTTTTTATCTGTATTACTTCGTTACTTACTTATTCCTGTTACTCTTCGTGAAGGAACATAGGCCACTCACCAGCATTCTCCATCCAACCCTTTCCTGGGTAATCCTTTCCAGCTCTCTCCAGTTCTTATTCATCATTTTCATATCTGATTCCATTTCCCGTTGCAATGTGTGCTTTGACCTTCCTCTTTTCCACTTCCCTTCAGGATTCCATGTTAGAGCTTGCCTTGTGATACAGTTTGATGATTTCCGTAATGTATGTCCTATCCACCTCTATCGTCTTTTCCTAACTTCCTCTCCAGCTCGAAAATGGTTTTTCCTCTCACACACAAAGCTGTTACTGACGGTATTCGTCCAATGTATGTTGAGTGTCTTGCGTAGACAACTATTAATAAATATCTGTTCCTTCTTGATGATGGTTTTAGTAGTAGTTCTCGAAGTTTCAGCTCAATACAGTAGAACTGCCTTGACGTTCGTATTGAGGATTCTGACTTTGATATTGTTTGATGGACAGTTGTTCTGAGTTCCATATGTTCTTTAAGTGTAGGAATGCTGTTCTTGCTTTTTCAATCTTTGACTTTACGTCT